TTCTGTCTCCCACAGCTAGAGAGAGTCAGCTCAAAAGCCAGCTCTGCCTTCCTGCCCTCTGTGCTGTTGCCTCTATCAGAGGCAGCAGCGCAGGGCAGGGGGGTGGAGGAGGTTGCTGCAGCCTGTGTCTGTAGCAGGCCCAGGCTCACCATGGACAGAGGCTGCTCCATGGGATACCAGTGCAGCCTCTGTCCGCAGGGAGCTCGGATTCCCCCATGGACGGGGGCTGTGGCTGTCTCGGGCTGCTGCCTCTTTATCAGAGGCAACAGTGCAGGGTGGGAGCCAGTCTGCACAGACAGCCAATTTTTAAACCGGCTGCTCTTGCAGGGTGGCAGGGGGCTCCCTGGAAGTGGGGACGGGAGCACACTGGCTGCCAGCCCTGCCCCTGGAGACTATCAAATAGTCATGTAACCACTAAAATCTGATGTGGCTATACGATAATTCAATTACACGGTATCTAACATCCCTAGCTTCCCATAATCGTTGTAAAGCAACCTCATTGTCCTATTTCAAAACCCCTCTCAAAACTCGCCTGTCCTACGTTGCCGACAAAATTGACAATGATCAGGGTGCTTGTGTGCAGTCTGTTGCTATCACGCTGACTAATACTATCCTATCGTTTCCCAGTACTCCCGTCAGTCTGTATCCATCTGCTGTCTCCTGTCTTGTACTTAGATAGTAAGCTTTGTCAGGTTCTGTTTGTACAACACCTAGCGCAATGGTCTGGTCCGTGATGAGCTCCTACGTGTTGTGGCAATACAAAATGACTAATTTAAAACAAGAGACACTAGATGGGCAAGGAAAGGAGACGTAGAACAGGAACGTGTTGAGCCATCTCTTGGTGCAGTTGGGCAGCTGGAAATGAAGAGAGCCAGTAGCACATCACCAACCAGCTCTCTGCCCATAATTATGGAGTGCTCCATGGACCAATTTCAGACCTGCTAGTTGAATATCATCTCCAGGGCTGCATTTGGGCAAGAAGTGTGCAGGGACTGGCCCGTTGCAAACAGCACAGAGCTGGAGTTACGGCAATAGCAAAGGAAGGTGTCAGAGTGAAGGACGTTTTTCTCCACTGGATGGTGCTGCTTGTCCAGGATATCAGTAGCACCTCCATGGTATAATTCCCCAGCGGCAGTTTCATACAACAGAGTGCTAGCATTGGCACTGAATCACTTTTAGCTTGCAGGGCGATAGATAGTTTACTCATTTTGGAAAGATTACATTGCATGAGCAACTGACAAGAGTGAACTAATTCTTTCCAAAACTCATTTGGAGAAGGAGGGATGGCTGCAGCACAGGGGCTGGAGTTCTGGCTCTCCCAGAGATTTCTTCTGAATGTTAATTGTCACTTCTCATTGCTTGAATTTCTTTATCTGTACAATAGGACTAACACACGTCTGCCTCAGGGAAGTGTGCTGATGAATACCACTGTTTGTAAGGTGATTGGAAATCCTGGGATTGAAGGTGCCAGAAAGGGGAAAGCATTGCACGTTTCAGCTTGAAGCTACTCTTCTAGGTCTTGCAAGCAGGGTTCTCTGGGAGTTTTAAGTGTAAAGCGTCTTAGATGTATGTGGCAGCTTTTCAGCTGTGTAAGATGTACCAGATTGAATTCCTTGCCACTGTCCTTGGTAATAGTTACAACAGACATAATGGAAGATGCAGGTACTGCAGATGTTGTCACTGGTAGGAAGAGCTGAACAGGTGGGATAGCAGCGCTCTGAGGAAGGTGAAGGAAGAGCAATAAGAGAGTTCAAGATAAAGGATAGTGATAGAAATACCTCTAATACCATTAGCTCACAAACATTTACCTTCCCTCCCACCCCCCGCATCCCCCTCCTGTTCTGAAATGTGATTTGTCCTTTTCATGTGTGTGCATTTTTTTAATTGTATCCTTTGGTATATATGGTTGTGACAATTTTCTTCCACTATTTGATCTGAGGAAGTGGGTCTGGCCCACGAAAGCTCATCCCCTAATAAACCATCTTGTTAGTCTTTAAAGTGCTACATTGTCCTGTATTTTGTTTCAAGATAAAGGAGTAGAGGAACTCAACTAGCTGCTTTTTCCCCCTTGTTGCCTCTATCTTAAAAGCCGGTTCCCCCTCAGCACCATCTTCACAGGGGAGGCAGAGGCGTAGTTGGGGACGGGGCGTGAGCCAGCTCACACTCAGTCCCCCTCTGCACTTGTGCTTTTTAAGTGTATTAAGAGCCGCTGGGGGCTCCTCAGGAGTGAGGCCAGTGTGCACTGGCTGCTGGCCCTGCCCCCAGGGACGATATAGTAGTCGACTAACTGAGAAAAATTCATGAGGTTACTCAACTACTCACTAAACCGAGATTTAACATCCCTACTTAGCATTATGCTTTGTGATTATTATTTTTTTTAAGTGGGAATGCTTTTTAGAAGAACCAGAATTGGGGCCAAAACCCAACTGTGTTCCTGTATCTTGTTCTTAGTTCCCAAAGGTGCTTTTCGAGAAGAAGTGGGGAACCTTTTTTGGGCTGGGGGCCAGTGACCCACAGAAAAGGGGCTGCACGCAAGTGAGAAACAAAACACAAAAGAAACCCTCGCTGATGTGGCCCACCCACTGAGAAGGAGAAAGACACTCTCCATATTCCCCTTGCACACCAGAGCTTGGGGGGGTCCAGTCTAGTAGATTGTGTGCGCTTCAGCCCCACGGGAGGACCATAAAGGGGGCGGGGGAGGGGATGCAATGCCAGCGCGAGCTCCCCAATGCTGAAGGAGAGCATCAGGGACTGGATTCAGGCAAGACAGGGGCATCATCCAGACCCTGGGCCTTAGCTTCCCCACCACTGTTTTAGAGGAAAGATTGTCTACTGGTTAGAGCATGGAATTGTGACTCAGGGAACTGGGTCCAAGAGTTGGCTTGACTGCTGACTTGTTATGCTTTTGAGCAAGTCATTTATCTTCCTGTGCCTCCCTTTGTAAAATGGGGGTAACAGCCCTTTTTCTGTGCATGCCTAACTTTGCTCTGCTAACTTTCCTTGATTGATTTCCATGGAACGACTCATGGTAGTAAAGTTAAACATGTGCATAAGTGTTTGTCAGATTTTAAGCTCTTCAAAGCAGAGGATCTCTCCTCCTGTGTCTGAGCACGATGTGGCCTTGATCCTTATTTGGAGACTAGCTCAGTTATCCTCAACGTGTGGGCCACGACCGCCTCCCAGGTGGTCCACAGCTTGAACTCAGCCGCCCCTTTTCCCCCACGCAGCGGGGCGCCCGTGCTGCCGCTTGAGCGTTGCAGTTGCCACTCAGCTGTGAGGCTGCAGCACTAGATCCAGCTTCCGGCTCGGGGGCGTATGCGAGGGGGCAGGGGTGAAGAAAGCTCCGACCTTCCCCTCCAGATCTGGCTCTTGGAGAGAGGCGGAGCCGGGTCGGGGATTTCTTCATCTCCCCCCGCCCCGTGCAGCCTCTGAGCTGGAAGCTGAAAATAGTGCTGCAGCCTCGCAGCTGTGCCAGCTCCCTGCTGCGTGGGGGAGAGGGTGGCTGAGCTCCCTCCCCTTCTCACCCCACTGGGGAAATGGCAGTGCAGTGATGCACTCTCCGGAGGTTTTCCCTGCTGCAGGGCAGGGGCTGGAGCGGCGTGAAGCCAGGAAAGCGTCTTCCCTTATGCCCAATCCCCGACACCCCAACCCCTCTCACTCACTCCTCTCCCCCCACCGAGACCCCCACATCCCAGCTTGCTCCGACACCCTCCCTCCTGGCCCAACACCCTGCCCCCTGGCCAGACACCTTGCCCCCAGCCTGCTCCTGCACCCTTCCCCCAGCCAGACACTCTGCACCCAAGCCCCTCCTGTACCCTCCCTTGCTCCTGCACCCTCTCTTCTGGCCAGACACCTTGCCCCCAGCCTGCTTCTGCACCCTCCCCCCGGCCAAACACCTACCCCGATCCTGCGCCTGCATCCGCCGTTGCTCCTGTACCCTCCCTTGCTTCTGTGCCTGCCCCCTTGCCAGACATCCTACTCCCATCCTGCTTCTGCACCCTACCACCCACCCAGACCTCGCACCTTCACCCTCCTCCCCCGCACTCCATCTCCTTCCCACATCCTGCACCCTCATCCCTATCCCACTCGCTGGCAGCCATGTCCCGCACACTGAACCCCTCACTTTTGTCCCCACCTCCGAACCCCAGAAAAATAAATCTGGCCTATGGGAAGCCCTGAACCTCAGTCCTCCCTGTCCCTTCCCCTCATCCCATGAGACTGGAGCACCAGAGGAGTGAAATGTCTCAGTTGGGGGCCACATCAGTGAGGGTTAGGGGGAGGGGAGTTTAGAGGAGGGTTTTTTGTGTGCTTCTCACTTGTGTGGTCCCCAACTGATTTTTCTGTGTTCAGTGGCACCAGACCCAAAAAAGTTCCCAACCCCTGCCATAAATAAAGAGAACACTGAAACCTTTTGTGTTGGACATAAATTCATATTTTACTTTATTTAAAATGAAGTTTGATAAACTAACATGAGAGAGTTAACGCTTAATGTGTTCAATAATTTAAAGGAAACCGTTCTCCCTAGCTGCAGCACTAGCAAAATGGCTCGGGTGTCATTACGTAATTAACTATGAGTTTCCATTAGCAATTGGTGGTCTGCAGAAAGTTTTGCGTTGACCCAGATGGTCCACAGGCCAAAACGTTTGAGAACCCCTGCTCTAGACGGATGCAGCGGTAATACAAATAATGTCGTCTGAGTTCTCAGGTAGAACAGCAGGAAGCTGTGGGAAGCTTTCCTCACATCGGTGCTTTTTCTATACTCGCTGAATACGCAGACCCGTGTAACTTGGTTTGGTTAACGTTTTATTAAAGCAGTGCTTAGAGCCACTACAGTCTGACATTTGGGACTAGTCGATTAATCGAAATTTAACATCCCTATGCTGGACCAAGGAGGTCCAACCTGTCCATTGAAGGCTGAGATGCTCAGATGCTGTGGTCACAGGGACTAGAGAAGTACCATACAAAGTCGGTTTGAGATTCTGCTTGGAGGGGAATAATGTCTTGACTCTTTCTTAATTGCATTGTCGGCTTCTGTCGCATTAAATGGCACATATCATTCTTTTTCTGCTGTAGCCCGTAAAAAGCAGAAGTGGTCTATGGATCCTAGAAACAGCGCCTGGAGTAAAGATGAATCCAAGTTTGGCCAGAAGATGTTGGAAAGAATGGGCTGGTCCAAAGGAAAGGTATGGACTAGGGGCGTGGTCTTGCAGAAAAGCAAGCTCTCGGGCCTTACAGACTTTGAAATGCAGAGACACCTGGATACACAAACTACGGGCAGTTCTTGGCAGCGACGTCTTTACAGGCCAGCGGGGAATATTTCTGGCATTGTGAGAGAACTGATCTCCGCTCGCGGCTCTCCCACATAGGAGCGTGCTGCGGCGGGAGGAGATGTGGCTTGATGCCATGCTCTGGCTACTCGGGAGCAGATCATAAGGGGCCATTAAAAGTTGCCAAAAATTTAAGCCGCCCTGGGGGCTGCTCTTACAGCTGTCAGAATTGGGGACGCGCAGCGACCCTGCCTACATTTCTGAATTGGGGGCGGGGGGCAGCTCCTTCTCCCAGGGAGAGCAGAGAAGGAAAAGAGGAAATAAGACAGCAGGAGAGATCCAGAAGTCAGCAAGTAGGGAGGAAAATAGCTACAGGTTGTACCTCCCTTAAGCGGGACTCCCTAGGCTGGCATGGACCACAGCCCAGGAGGAGGGAGGTCTGGCGGCAGGACAGGACCATAAGGGACACTGGTATGTGTGTGTGTGGAACTCTAGCCTGGCTGCAGCCATGGAACTGTGGCCCCGTTCCCGACCTGCGGCGCTCCGGTCACATTCTGGCTCCAGCAGCCGGGGAACTCCAGCCCCAGCAGTAGCCAGGGAGCTCTGGCCCCAGCTGCGCAGCTCTGGCCATGGCTCTCTGGCGTCACTAGTAGCAGGGCCGGCAAGAGCCCTGGGGGGGTTGAGGCAGCAACAGCGGGGCGGGGCGGAAGGAGGATGCTGGAGCTCGGAGCCCTAGACTCATAGACTCATAGACTTTAAGGTCAGAAGGGCCCATTATGATCATCTAGTCTGACCCCCTGCACTGTGCAGGCCATAGAATCTCACCCACTCCTCTTAGAATAATCCTCTCACCTATATCTCAGATATTGAAGCCTTCAAATACTTTGAAGGCCCCAACATGCAGAGAATCCTCCAGCTGTGATCTGTACCCCATGCTACAGAGGAAGGCGAAAAACCTCCAGGGCCTCTGCCAATCTACCCTGGAGGAAAATTCCTTCCCAACTCCAAATATGGCGATCAGCTGAACCCTGAGCATGTGGGCAAGACTCACCAGCCAGACACCCAGAAAGTTCTCTATAGCCCAGCCTCGAGGGGAGGGATCTTCCATGCTCCAGCATGTTAAGTCCTGAGGTCCAACCTATACTACAAAGGAATAGGCCTGTACATTGTACGCCCAAGAGCTACTTATCGTTTCTGTATCTAGCTCTCTCTCAGTATTTCAAATTTCCTGCCAGCTGGGCAAAAAAATACATCATGAGCTCCAAACATATTTCCTTTGTGGACTGAAAAGCCGTTAGCTTTGTTCGGACTACAAGGCAAGACCTGAAGTCCCGATTTGCCCCAACACTCTTCATGAAGCAAACAGTAACATGATTATGCGTGAGAATGCAGTGGAGGAAGGAGAAATTAAGGAAGTGTGTCCTGCGGAGTTCCAGTTTGGGTCAATTCCATTATTTGCCTCGCTCTAACCTCCCTGTGCAATTGCAGTTGAGTGTGTTATTGTTTGTTAATGTACTTTGTTAAACAGCCATTCTCCACCCCAGAGGTGGGTGCATTTCAGTGGTGAGAGAAGCATTCCCAGTGCCTGCTCTCTCTCTCCGTGTTTCAGGTTGCAAAGCACTTGAGACTGACCTCGAAATGCAAGGGGGTGACCTGATTGGTCATTAACCAGTCAGTGTTATTACTCCTTTGGTGTGTGTAATTTTCTGAGTGACACAAAAGCAGTGGGTTAAAAATTCTTGATGCAGTGCTTTCAGGGGCGGGGGGAATCTTTTTTGGGTCGGGGCAGCTGCCCCACAGAAGAGTCAGTTGGGGGCCACACACAAAGGAGAAGCAAAAAAACCCCAAACCAAATCCCACTGACATGGCCCTTGATTGAGGAGGAGGAAGATGCTCCCCGTGTTCCAGTCGCGGTCCAGAGCCTTTGCAGCCCCAGGCTAGTAGATTCTGTGCTCCAGCCCCCTGGGGAAGCAGCGAGGGACTGGAGCACCAGTGTGGGCTCCCCAGGCCTGGGGGGAGCCCTAAGCCTCGGGGGCCAGATCCAGGCAAGATGGCTGCATACGGCCCCCGGGCCTAAGGTTCCCCACCCTGGCTTAAAGCATTTGACTGAATCAATAGTTATTTAAGTTGTGTCTCGTCTGTAATTCCAAACCAAATGGGTTTCTGTAGGATACTTATACTTACCTTTAATATCGCTCCTGAAAAATGCTTACCAGTTGCCTTCACTTCTCATTAGGGTCTTGGGGTTCAGGAACAAGGGAACACAGAGCACATCAAGGTTCGAGTGAAAAACAACACCCTTGGTTTAGGAGCAGCCGTAAATTATGAGGTGAGCACTCGTTAGCATTCTTGCCAACCCAGGTAAGACTGTGTGGATTGTTCACCGCCCCTTTATGTAATGGGCAGTGGGTGCAATGGAACGTCATGGGTAATGATGAACATCTTGCAGAAGAGAGAAATCCGCTCAAATGCCGGATTGGGACAGTTGTGTCCTGCCAGGTTTTTTGGGGAGGATGTTGGGGGTGGTGAATGCTCAGAGATGCCACTTCCCACAGGCCACTGAAATGTTTTCTTGCTGGTAGATAGCCCTTTGTCTCCTTTTACTAGACCTGGTTTTGTGCCTTCCTGTCATTCTGCTCCCTGTGCCTGGAACAGTCCCCGCTTCCCGTTGGCAGCCCTGGGTGTGCACAGAACCTGGGATCGAGCCCTAAAGGCGCTGTCTGAGTCAACATCAGAACTGACTTTGTGTGTTCTCATCTTTTGTGCTGCCGGGAAAATTCTGTTAGCATTTCCTGCCTGTAGCTGAAAACAACTTGCCCAGGCTGGGCCATAATAGAGCCAACAACAACTCAGTATTGTTTGAAGACTTTCAAGCACGTCTCGTAGGCACTTTGAAGCGAACGTAACGAGTTGTAGCGAGTGCTTCTACCCAGGAAACTTTAGGGGATTTCTAGTTACTCTTTGGTATTTAGACCCAGAGGACGTACAATGAGACTCTTGTAGACCTTTTGGTAGGGTGGTTTGCCTCTTAATCACTTGAGTGCTCTTTTCAGGACAGCTGGCTTGCCCACCAAGATGACTTCAACCAACTTCTGGCTGAACTGAATAACTGCCATGGACAAGCTGAATCAGGTACGTTAATGTGTCGCTATTTTGGGTGCTGGAAGCTTCACGGAGCATTTCCTTTGGTTTTCATTTGTGAAAAGGCAAATTCAGGCCTGGTCCTGTGGGCTGGTAACACTTCTTGCATGATGTTGATCCTCCTTCAGCTCTCGTTAAAATAAATGGGAGGAGAGAGCTCGGTTTCGCACAGAACCAGGCTCTTAATTTTGATGAGGATGTGTATGAATTGCATTTAAACTCCATAGTCTTTAACGGGCTTTGGATCAGGCCCTTGGTAGAGCTCTTCAGGAGAAAAGGCTGACAGGTGTGTTCCCTGTAGCCAAGAGGAGAGCCTTGTGGTGGGATATGCAGAAACAGCAGCCCTTAAAAAACAACCTGAGACCGCTCCAAGGCACGTGACACACATTCTCGATTGCCACATTTACCATTGTTAGTGTTGAAGAATTATGGCTGGCTTTTACCTGTTGGCAGTTTCTTTTGCATGAGCTGGAGTCAAAACCTACCGACTCATTACATAAGGCAGGGTAATGGGATTTAGTTGGGCAGAAGCAGGAGACTTGTCAAAAATTTCCAAAAAGAGCAAAAAAGTACTTGGGCCTGATCTAGGCGCATGCTGGTTTAAATAACGGACAAACTACACTGATGTGAGGTTTAAAACAGGACAGGCATCCACATAGCACCGCGTAGGTTTAACTAACTCATTCTAACGTCTTGCCTTTGCTTAGACTCGGGCGTTTTTTATGTGCCGACAAGCCCTTGGGCTCAAGGTCTGCAACGGTTAGTTCCCTGGTGGAGACCTGTTAAAGTCAGCGGTTTTCTGCCTGGGTGCAGTGTCTGTCCATATATAATCAATTGCAGCACGTTGGCATGAGGGAGTTTATTCAAACTATTCAGAGCAAAGTGTAGTTGCCAATGTATTAATCCTAAAAATGACACCAAGAGTGTGGGGCTTTATTGAAAGTTCGGAGAGAAATCAAAATCCGTTTTTATGATGGAGAAACAAGCCACACACCTGCAGGGCTGGGTCTCCGATCCTGGTCCTCGAGTGCTATGGGCCAGATTTGTAAAGGTATGTAGGTGTCTAAAGATATAGAGAACTGCTCTAGTCATTTTCTAAGTACAGTAAACTTCTGATAATCTGGCACCTTTAGGACCCAGGGGGTGCCGGATTATCAGATATGCCGGACTATCAGAAAGACCCCTCATAGCCCCCCCTTCCGATAATCTGGCTCTGCCCCAGGCGTCCCGGATTCAGCCACTGCTGGTCAGTTTCAGCAGCAGCTGAATCGGTGATGCCTGCAATAGAGCAGCTGAGGTGCTGTCGGGTTGGTCCCGCAGCGCTGAGGGGCGGCGCTACGGCACCAACCCAGCAGCACTCCAGCTGCTCTTGGGGACGCCTGGGGCAGGGGGGGGGTTGTGGGCGCTACGGGACCAACCAGCAGCACCCCAGATGCTCAGCTGCTGGTCAGTTTCAGCAGCGGCTGAATCGGGGAAGCCAGGCACAGAGTAGCTCCATTTGTCCGGCTGCCCGAGCACTTCCGGGTTCCTGATGGTGCCGGACCATTGGGGTGCCGGAGCATTGGATGCTGGACTAATGGAGTTTTACTGTACCTAGTTCCTAACTCCCCTTGGATTTAGGTGCCTTTGAAGATCCCACTGGGCACTTGTGTACATCTTTAAGAATCTAAATACATTTACAAATTTGATCCTAATACCCTACTGAGCTAAAGGAAGATCAGTTAGCTGTAACCTGTGGGAAGACCCTGCTGGTGTTTGTAAGAGGATGGCATCCACTAAGTACTTTGAAAGGTGGGCGAGTGTTATGAACCCCATTTGTACAAATATGGAAACAGAGAGTCTTAAATGACTTCTCTATGGATGCACAGAGCATGACTGGAATAGCCAGGTTCATTGAAGGAAGCTGTTTTGGTTCCCAGTCCTGTGCTGTGTCGCCTAGGTAGATCATTGTCACTTCTCCAAAGTCCTGTTGCTAAGTTTTGAAGACCTTTGGTCTAGACCAGGCATGTCCAAAGTCCGGCCCGCGAGCCAATTGAGGCCCGTGTTCCGATTTAATACGGCCCCTGCTTCCTCCCCCTCTCCTGGCTCCCCGGCGCTCTTTTGAACTGGCGCGCCCAGCGCGCCGCTTCCAGCTGCACCGGCTCCCCCGCTCGGCTGCGGGTTCGCCCTGCCCCCGGGCCGCTGTGAGGCCGGCGTGTCCTGCGCTCTCCGCCCGCCTCCGACCCGGCCCTCACGCATGTTCACTTCTTCAAATCTGGCCCTCTTTGAAAAAAGTTTGGACACCCCTGGTCTAGACAAAAGACAGGACTATGCAGCACTTTAAAGACTAGCAAGATGGTTTATTAGGTGGTGAGCTTTCGTGGGCCAGACCCCTTTCCTCAGATCAAATTGTGGAAGAAAATTGACACGATCATATATACCAAACGGATACAATTTTTTTTTAAAAAAAGTGAACGCATATAAAATTGACAAATCAGATTTTTTTTTTTAAAGTGAACGCATATAAAATTGACAAATCAGATTTTTAGATTGGAGGGAAGGTGGGGGGGGGAGGTTAGTGTCTATGAGATAATGATATTTGGGGGTAATAATTGGGGAAACTATCTTTGTAATGGGTAAGGTAGTTAGCATCTTTGTTAAGGCCCATTTGTAAAGTGTCAAATTTAAGCATGAATGACAGTTCTGAGGTTTCCCTTTGTAGTCTGGTGTTAAAGTCTCTTTGAAGTAATATATATGTAGTGAGGTCGTTGGGACAATGCCCAGTCTGGTTGAAATGACAAGAAACTGTTTTTTATTTGTGAAACTGTCTGTCGTCTAATTTGTGGGCATTAATTCTTTGGTGAAGTGTCTGAGAAGTTTGTCTAATATACATAGCAAACGGACACTGTTGGCACATGATGGCATAAATTATATGGTCTAGACAGGTAGTTATTGTTGTCCATGGTTTCTGAGCACCCATTTCATTGCTGGGTAGTTATAAGCAGGGACTAGGCTGTGGACAAAAATACAACCAAAGCAAAGTGTTTTTAAAATGTGAGTGGATATTTATGCAGCGTTCAGCCAGGCCTAATACTGAGTCTCAGTTCTCAGCAGACAGGTGATAATGCGTCTCTCCGTAGATAAAATTCCTGATGTTGGATACTGAAATTCCACTTTGCCGCCACAAGAGGGGGCTGGTGTCACTCTCGCCGGACCTGTGAGTTTGCGATTGATGCTCCACTGAGAATTCTTACTATGGTGATGCTCAATTGCCTCCCAGAACCTGTCCATTGAGGGCTTTCAACTCTTTCTGCAGCAAATGCCTTCTAATCCCAGATTTGCTAGTTCCCCCCTGTAATAGATTTTCAGTCTAAATTCAGGAGGGACTGGATGGATCAGAGCCTGATCATGGGCTCTTCACTTTTCTCCTCCAGGCTTCCAGTTAAACTCCAGCTCAGTCATTCTGAGTTCCAAACAGTGCCGCCATCTGTTCAAGTTCAGGGAGGGAAATGGGTTTTCACTGGTTCACCAAGAAACTTAGTCTGTAAGCCCTTGATTGCAGGTGAGGATGAGGGAAGCCAGCTTGACTTTTGGTGCCCAGGCTGAGCCTGCAAGGCTGGCAGTTAGAAAACACATCTTAACTTGTAAATTGATGATATTATTTTTTATTGTGGTAGCAGTTAGAAGCCCTAGTTGAGGACCAGGACCAAACTGTTAGATGCCACGCAAGCCCAAAACAAAGCCCTGTGTAGCGTTTCCAATTGAAGCACAAGATGAGACAGCAGTTGTGTACAGACAGATGGGTTAGCACAAGGAAGTAAGGAGGTGATATTAACCAGCATGGTAGGCAGTGGTCTCACCACATCTGCAGCCAAACTGTTCCCGGGAGAGTTTAAGCATCACAGCAAAGGAATTGGAGGTGGACAATGCGGCAGCTTTGTGGATGTTGGCGGGGAGTGTGGGGCAGCATGGGAAAAGGCAAGGTGCTTGTTTAAAAAGCAAGTAGGTGGACGATGCAGGCTGGCACCATGGGCTGGTCATAGGTGAGCCTCAAGATGACAATGCTGAATGTGTGATGATAGTAGGATGGGGACTGCGTGTGAAGAAAGAGCCTTGGAAGGGAAGAGAAGCCGCCTGTGTGTAGCTACTGTGGGGAAGTGAAAGTCCCTGAGAGACGCCCACAGACCCTCACGTTGCCCTTTCCAGGCATTTGTCAGGGTAGCGCCCTGACGGAGTCGCTCCTGTATCTTGTGTGTGTGTCTTCAAGAACTCCTAGGTTAATTGCAGTGGTGGGCAGCAGTGGTGGGCAGCAGACGGTAGTAACAGACCCTACCCAGGGGTTCTATAGAAAGATGCAGCGCGGCATGTAGAAGGGTGGCCCGCCAACCCGATTGCTTCGAGGCACTGTCACAGTATAGATACCTACTAACAAGGCACTGTCTCTGCTCGAAGAACTTGCCTCTTTTTTCGAATTACATTTATACCAAGGAGGTGTAACATTATAGATAGCAAGACGGTACAATAACGCTTCCTGAACAGCCCTTTCTCTGCTCCTTTGATGTGATGTTACTTGCTGGGACTTAAATCGAGGCGTTAAGTATACACATGATCCTCTGTACTCTGGGTGTCCCTAATCTGGGCATACCCATAGTATGGATCCTGGCGGGAGGAGGAGAAAGCAGCTCTGCACACTGCTGTTTCTCCCTCTCTTGAGCTGGGGGAACGACAGAGCAGCAGCGGGCTTCCCCTCAGGCTTTTTCTTGCTGCTCCTATCGCGGTGGGGAGGCAGCATCTGGGAACAGTGGGAGCATAGAGCCATGTGTACCCCCAGGAGCAAGGTGCCAGGTAAGCACTTCACGCCCAGACCTTTCAGCACCCAGGAAATTCTTGAATCCCACATACCCTGTTTCCCAGTGTATTGATGTCTGAGGTTAGCAGTTAGCATTTATCCAATGGACATGTAATCTTTGTGTGTTAGAGCCTGCTGGCGAACAGAAGACGACATTCAGTCTGGAAGAGAAATCCAGATCCTCCAGGAAACGAGTTCATTACATGAAGTTTGCCAAAGGTAAGGGGCACTTTGTTTTTCTTTCACAAACTTCAGGGCTATAAATATCTACATCTGACTTACATTTGGCACTAAAACAGCCATGTGGCAACCGGCTTTAAATTATAATACAGCCTTCCTGCTTTAGTTGGCAGTTTTTGTTGGCTTCAGGCTGGTATTCTGGAATCATTCAGTCATTGTCTGTAGGAAGCTGCTATTTCATAAGGAAGGGTGACTGTTTTGAATGGTATAAAAGAAAAAACACAATGGTCCATGTGATGAAACAACTTACTAAACAGTGGTTGCTTGGACATCTGTACAGCTATATCCTGTACAGTCTTGATAGGCCCACTTAATGGTCATGTGGCTAAGATCAGGGATAAGCTTAAACTTGACTGCAGTAAGAGGAAAGCTCTGTTATCAGGTCTTCTCTCTATCCTTGACCATTGGCCTAAGTCACCCAAATAATTAAACTTAACTCCTGAAGTATTGAGATTTTCCCTCTTCTTTCAGAGGAGTAACTAAATGCCAGCCATCCGGATGCCCTCTGTTTCCGGCTTTTCTTTAATAGTAATTCTGTTTCTTTTTTTGTGTGTGTAAAATGTCATTGGAACTGATTTTTGCCATACGTGTGATTTTCCACTAATGGTTACTTTGTTAAAATATAACACACACACACCCTCCCCCTCCCCCTCCCCGTCTCCCCCAGGCCAAAGTTATGAATAGATCACATAAAACAGTGGCAGATGACTTCTGAATGGGAGCCAAATTCTGGTCCTGGGGTTCCACCAAAGGCTGCAGCGAACTTTTGGTGGCATCTCAAGTTGTCACATCACTCCTTTCCTCTGCTCTGTGTGCCCCATTCCTGTTTTCGGACAGTGTCATATTCACAGGGGGAAAAAGCTTCTTGTAAGGCCTACAGCATCACTGCCCTGCCCTTGAAAACATTTGGATGTTGCCCAAATGAATAATAGTTGCACTCCTTTGCTTCCTCCCAGGAAAGGATCTCTCTTCCCGCAGCGAAGATGACCTGTCCTGCATTTTTGGGAAACGACAGACTGTGAAAACTGAGGTAAATCTTATGAATGTAGGACTGGAAGGGTCAACTAGTCCAGTGCCCTGCGCTCTTGGACACCCCTGCAGTGCAGTACTGTCAATAAACTTATCACGCTCCACCTGAAAACTAGTTTAGGTGTTTCCCTCCCGCTGCTCCTACAAAAAGGCTGCGCTGGAACTTCACCTCTTTGATGGTTAGAAGCCTTCTTCTAATTTCCAGCCTACATTTACTCCTGGCCAGGTTATACGCATTTGTGCTTGTGCCAACAATGTCTGTTAGCTTAAATAGCTTTTCTTTCTCCTCCGTGTTTAACTCTTGAAGTGTTTCCAGGGACCTGTCCCCACTGAGCCTTCATTTCACTCGGTTAAACAAACCAAGTGCTTTTAGTCTTTTCTCCTAAGACCGGCTCTCCATTCCCCGATCTGTCGAGTTGCCCTTCTCGATGCTTGTTCCGACTGGAATTCATCTTTCTTGATCCTGGGTTCAATAGTGTAAACAATTTATTCTTCCTTCTATGTTTTTCCCTTTAAAGATGGGAAAGCGAGATTGTTATGACAAGTGAAATCATCAGTCAATATTAAGTCTACCTAAGAATTTTATTTTTCTTTTACACTCTGATTGGCAGTATAGAAAACACGGTAGCTGTCTTTTGTTGTCGGAGTTGTAGATTATGTTGGAAATATAAAGTACAGTACTTAGCAAAAAGTGACCAAGATCAGCAAAACAGCAAATTGTTCTTTAATTTCCATAAGATCACTGTACATTTATAAATTCTAAACCCTAGGAGCTGTTTTAATGTCACCTTAAGTATGGTGGCTTGATTTTTCACATTCACTGTTCGGCATGCAGTACCCTCAGTCCTGCTATTAAATATCACCAGGGACTCTTCAGTACTTGAGGTGGGTAAAATGTCAGGTCCAAATTGACACTTATAGACTCACTGGTGCAAGTTCTGGGGGGTTCACAGACAGGTTTGCACTTAACACTTTGGTAGCAGTTTGTGCTATGAGGCGAATGTCTGTCTTGTGACTCTGCAGAGAGATTCCCTTGTGCGGGAATGTGACTAGTGCGGGCAAGTGTTTTGGCAGTACTGAGATTCACTGGTGTGCGCCCAGAGAAGGTGCAAAAGAATGTGCCACAGGTATTCTAGTGCTATCCCTGTGGGCGCTGTGAAGTCTGTGGTGGTTAGAGGGAGGGGTGCAGCCTGTGTTTCATTTCGTGGGTACCATAGGAATGGGAGCAAGACACTGCAGAGCCTTGTGTCCGCTCCAATCAAAAACGTTTAAAAGCTGTTCTACAGCTTCACAAGATCATGGAGCTTGGGAATCGTGTGTTCGGAGAGCCAGTCTCTGCGTGTTATAACGGCAAAGATCTGTCAGCTATCCAAACCTAGAGCACTTCCATGAGATTGCAGCGTGTACCCCAAGCTAGGGATGTGAAAGTGTCCCTAGGTACACAGTTATATATAGCTATCCCCCAACCCCCTCTACTGCCTCTGTATCAGAGGCAGCAGCAGTGGGGGAGGGCATGCAGGAGCTGGTACACATGAGACGCCTCTGTTACATAGGCAGCAGCATGGAGCAGCAGGCGGGAGCTGCCTGCCCCCTGCATGTAACCATATAATCGTGGCAATGTTCAGTGGTTACACAATTACTTAACACATTTTAATATCCCTAACCCAAGCTACAGTACACAGCCTTGGTGTTCTGTTCGGTAGCTTTACAATTTTAAACAAATACAACTCCCTCCCCCCCCTTTAAAAAAAAGGGCATCAGATCTGTTTCCCATGATGATAAACTCCCCAAGCTGCAAGAACAGAGCAACAAATAATTGAAATAACCGAAGCTAGAACCACCCTGTCTTGTCAGCAACTATGAGTAATAATCCACACCTTTATTTTGCAAGCCACTCAGTTCGGACTTGATGGATAACAGTTTGGGGAGACTCCATCAGTCACAAGACCGCTAATCTTAATTTAGTGCAGTTTTGAAATTAGCTTTTGGACTAGCGGCCTAAACTAGTGTATGCTTTCAGTAGTGGAGCCCCGTAGATTAACTTCTCCTATTAGCTGTATAGCCAAGGGCCTACTTTTCATCTCTCTGGCTGAAGTGCTGCCATGTGGTAGCCCAAGATATGGCAAAATCTGATGGGACTTGTAGTCTCCCGTTCTAGTCTTCATCTCCACAGTCAATGTAAGGAAGTCATGGATCACAGCTAGCCCAAAGGTATCCAAATGTGATGTCATTTTAAATCGTTTGGATGGAAGGGATTTTGGGAAGGCATCATGTTGAGCCTCTTGTGCCGTGGCTGGATCAAGGCCAGATCTATACTACGCGCAGAAGGTCAGTTTAAGGCACGCAACTCCAGCTATGTAAATAACAGTCGGAATCAATGTACCTTAAGCCGAGTTTGGTGCAGTCTCCAAAGTGGGAGGTCAACAGGAGAAACACTCCTGTTGACTTCCCTTACTCCTCGTGACAGCAAAAGGTACCGGTGCTGACGGGCACTCTTAGCATTTGATTTAGCAGGTCTTTACTAGACCCTCTAGATTGAACCCCCAGCAGACCAGGGGGACAGGAGCAAAGCCGCCCAGGCGGCGGGGGTCCCGCCGCCCGGGCGGCTTTGCTCCCGGGCAAACGACATAAGTCGGATCCGCGTAAGTCCGGGACTGCCTGCAGTTCAAGCCCCCCCCCCCCCCCCAGCAGACTAGGGAGACCGGGAGAAGCTTTTCTCGCCCCGGAGGACACGGGTGGCGACCCGCCACCCGTGAGCTCCGGGGCGAGAAAAGCCCCATTCATAAGTGCGGATCCGACATAAGTCGGATCCACGTAAGTCGGGGACTGCCTGTACTACTTGTTCTACATTCAGGAGATGTGGAAAACTATTGATCACAGTCCTTTTTGTAACACATTTGAAGACTTTTATCAGGTCCCGCCCCCTTTTCTCAAGTCTTCACGCGCCTAGTTTTTTAACCTTTCCTCATTGATCAGGTTTTCTAAACCTTTTATTATTTTTGTTACTCTTCTCTGGGCTCTCTCCAGTTTCTCCACATCTTTCTTACAGTGCGATGCCCAGAATTGGAGTACTCCATCTGAGGCCTCTCCAGAGCTGATAAGAATGGTACAATTACCTCCCATGTCCTATACACAGCACTCCTGTTCCTGCATCCCACAATTATATTAGTCTTTTTCACAGTTGCCTCAGATTCACTCATATTCAGTTTGTGGTCTGCTACAACCTCCAATTCCTTTTAATCTATTCTACCCTCTAGCCAGTTATTCCCCATTTTGTAGTTAGACATTTGATTTTTTTTTTTCTTGCCTCAATGAAATATTTTGCATTTGTCTGAATTTCATCTTGTTGCATTTAGACCACCTCTCCACTTTATCAAAGTTGTTTTGAATTCTAATCCTGTCCTCCAAAATATTTGCAGCCCGTTCCAGCTTTGTGTTATCTGCACATTTTATAAGCATATTTTCCGCTTCCATTATCCAGGTCATTAATTAAAATATTGTAGTGCCAAATCTAAGACAGAACTTGCGGGACCCGCTAGATACACCCTCCCTGTTTGACAATGAACCATTGATAACTATTCTTTGAGTATGGTCTTTCAACCAATTGCATAGCCACCTTATAGTAATTTCATTTCCCTAGTTTACTTATGAGTCTATCATGTGAGACTGTGTCAAAAGCCCTACTAACATCAAGATATCACATCTGTTGCTTCCCCCATCTCCATGAGGCGAGTAACCCTGTCAAAGAAGGAAATTAGGTTGCTTTGGCATGATTTATTCTTGACAAATCCATGCTGGCTATTCCTTATAACGCTATTGTCCGCTACGTGCCTACGGATTGATTTCGTAATTTGTTCCAGTATCTTTCCAAGTATTGAAGTTAGGCTGAGAGGTCTACGATTCCCTGGGTCCTCTTTGTTCTCCTTTTTAAAGATAGGTACTGTGCTTGTCCTTTTCCAGTCTTCTGGGACATCACCCATGCTCCAGGAGTTCTCAGCGATAATTGCTAATGGTTCTGAGACTCCTTCAGCAAGTCCTTTGTTAGCCTAGGATGAATTTTGTCAGGCCTTGCCAACTTGAATACCTCTAGCTTATCTAAATATTCTTTAACCTATTCTTTCCATGTTTTAGCTTGTATTCTTTCCTCCTTGTTAATATTTTGTTGAGTATTTGGTCGCCGTTAACCTTTTTGAGTGAAAACTGAAGCAAAATAGGCACTATTAAATACCTCAGCTTTCTTGATGTCACCACTTATTAGCTGCCATTAAGTAGAAGACTACACTTTCCTTTCCATGTTTCTCTTTCTTCTAATGTATTTTTAAAACCTCCTCTTATTGCCTGTATCCACTTTGCTAAATGTAACTCCTTTTGTGCCTTAGCCTTTCTGATTTTGTCCCTACATGCTTGTGCTATTCTTTTGGACTCCTCCTTAGCACTTCATCCATATTTCCACTTTTTTTGCCTTCTTTCAGGTCATCATAGCACTCCAGGCGACGCCATACAGCCGGTCCTCGAGTTGCGAACGGTCGACTTACGACCATTCGCATTTACGACCGAAGCTGTCATAAATGGCGGACCCGGGGTTACAAACGCTATCTGCGCTTACGAACAGCGCAGTCGCAGGTAACTCTATGGGGTCCAACATACGCACAAACTGAGTTGCGACCAATTGCTTGGTCCATAACCGGTTCGTAAGTCGGGAAGAGGCTGTATTGGCTTTTTTCAATATTTCTCTTTCCTTCATGTCACAGTAGTTTGCAGTGAAGCCTTTAATGTTGTCTCCTTGATAAACTACCAATGACCTGGCAGCCTTAAATGGCACCCAAATCAAAAGCCTGGTTATTATGGAGGGCGGAGAGGGCCTGGGTCATTAACCTGGAGCTGCCTCCTACCTCCAGGATGGCCCCTCAAGATGAGCCAGTTGAGTGATGGGAATACAGGGAGAGAGGAGCAAGCACTGGGGGCCAGGCATTAGGGGAAGAGATGGAGTCTGTGCAACGC